ATCATTTTCACTGTACGCGTGGCTGTAAAATGCGTGCAATCAATTTCTGAAAGGATCGCCTGGTAAGAGGCTGACGTAGAGATGGTAATGGTGAAAGAGAGACGAAGAGGAAGATCGGAGGTAGCCAATCCCTTTTGACCTTGCTCGCGATCGGAAATGATCGATACACGGAGCAGGCGAACGTTCGAGTTCCGCACGCATATACGAGCGCCAACCGTGGATCAGGAAGCTGTCGAAAGAGTTCGGCCTTGCCTCTGCCAAAAGGAGCCGAATAGAGCGGCTGGTAAAATTGCGCTCGGGTAGAGAAAAAAGCGTCCCAAAGAGGGCTCGAATTAGTTTCAAACACGTTCGAGCAACGTTCCGCCGTCACCCTTGGATACTTTATCGACTTGCCTGTTCACCCGCGGAAACAACGGAAACGATCGCCTTGCGTGCAGCGGATGTCCTCTGAGTCACCGATGACTCGTTCGGACGGTCGAAAGGTATTGCTGCGTTTTCAAAGGGTTCCTTTTTCAGTACTTTTATTTGGACACTGCGAATGGAAGAGCTGTGTTGCAGTCAGCTGGATTGTGTTTCGTATGTGAATCGAAAGATTTATTTTAACTCTTTGAATGACTTCTTTTTGGGGGAATTTTTGAGGAGATTTAAAAAAATAAAAAACTAGGAGTTAGTGTGTTCTTTCTTTTAGTTTTATATTGATTTAGTGCAACAGGGTTGAATTTCACTATGGAAGCACTATTTTTTACTGTGGAAGCAGTATTATACTTCGAGGTATTCAAAGGGTTAATTCTTCACGATCGAATGGCGTCATAAATTAAATTTTCTAGTCTATTGTTATCACAATTTTCTCCAATTTTCATACGGTATAAAAATGAAAACTTGGATATAATACATTTAAAAAATAAACCGAGTAACTTTAGTATATTGGAATGATCAGAAATAATTGATTATACCCATATTGCAAATAACACAAGGCACGATCCAAGAGAAAGAAAAACAGAACATAAATAAGAAAAAATGAAATAACCAAAACTACGTCTTACACGAGAATAAATCAGATCCCACAGACACTCGTTCGCTCCCAAAAGGGCAAAATACCTTAACTTGACACGATCTCGTTACGATACAATCATTAATCATCCTCATCTCGCAACTTGTCAGAAGATCGTCACCCTGTCTCGCGGTGCAACGAAAAGCACTTAATGGCACGTTCAATAAACCATAAATTAATAAAACCACCCGAATAAAATTGCACGTTAAAAGACGATTGATTTAGAGACGGGAGGTCAAAATCATTGCTTGAAAACAAGAGCGCGCGCACACACGCACGATCGTTCTTTAATAAAGATCGTAAAACGAAATGATGCACCGGTCTCAAGCGATAACACGATCTCCTCGCTCGACCGCGACGATTAATCATAAATTGCGAAACTCGGCTAATAACTTTAATTACCTTCAAGCGCGTTTGCGCGTGCGCCACATCGTTGACAAGCGGGAATTACACCTGGCTCTCGCCACGATACAAATTTACGACTCGCAGATTCGACGGAATAAACGAGATACGCAAAATCGAAAAAAATTCCTTTCGAGCTACCACGAATCGCTGCGACGAAAATCCTTATAAAATTTTCCCGTCGCGTGCAACAACACGCGACCAACGATAATTCCCCACCTAAAAAGGGGAATATTTATCGGGTGAATCGCACAGGAAGCCGCGAACTTGGCGAAAACAGTCTCTCTTCTTTCCTGGTTTACTCACGCACACACGTTATATCCACGTAATCAAACACAACTACGGTTGTGCGTACACGCCAAGTCGAACAAAGCGGGAAAATTTTCCACAATTTCTCCGGTCGTACACAAAGCACGGAAAAGAATCGAATTATTCGCGAATAGGTGGGAGTAGGATAAACAACAATCATTTCTCCAGGTCTGTGTCCGATTAAGTAACGGCTGGTTTTTAATGATTAACCAATTATATTTGTGCCCGCGATTCGCGAGCTCGCGCAGCCTTGCCGCCGCGATTACTCAATAATATGTACACTTCGACGCCTTTCTCTTTATATTATGAAAAATCCTGCGTACAATTGGCAATGGTAGCCGTTCGAGTAGTACCGAGAGAGATAGAGAGAAAGAGAGAAGGTCGACAAGGAGTCTCGGTCAAGAAATCGATGCAACGATCATCTCAGAGGCACGCGACTCCCAGCCACGTTCCACCAAAACACTAATTGCACGATCGACACACGTCCGTGATGGATTTAGATCCGCCGTTCTCGAGCCACGTAACGCTCGTTCTCGCCTTGGGAAAACCGGAGGCTGAGTAGGCCTCTTGTCCGGCGATCTCTCGCGCTAGATCACGGCCTCGCTTGGATCACAGAGAGCTGAAAAGGCAGCGGTTAGGAGCGGAAGGCTCGCGTCAGTCCTTGCCAGAAATAGAGCGAACCAAGCTCCTGTCTGGATCCTGAGTGGAATATTTAATTCAACTGCAGACCTGGACGACGATCTAATTCCCGCGCCACGGTTAACACCGTCTCTTTATGTCCATGATGCAGGAAAAGTCACTGTGATTCACAGCCTCCAGATCCGGAGCAATCGGAACGATTCTGAGAAAAAGAGATTCAACGAGACCCGATATTCGAGGGTTCCGATCGAAGCAGCTTTTTAAGACTGCGACCATCGTCGGAGCAGCGGGCTCAAGGTTACGGAACTAGTCCGTCTGGATCGAAAAAACAATACGCAAAACGAGTTTTCCCCTGTGACACAATCGAATTTGCGTTTTCTTCTTTTGTTCTCTCCCGTCATTTTTCGGCAGTCACGATGACGAGGAGATTCGTCGAGATCCTGGCCGTGTTACCCGGATAAATCTTTCTGCTCTGGCGCATCGTAGAAATTTTTCAACGATGATTCCGACGTTTCTTGGAAGGAGAGTCTCGCGGAGATGCGTTAGATGAAATGTTTTCGACAACGTATTAAGACGTGAATCCACGGACCATTAACTCGAGACACGCGATCAACCGCGTAGACTATTCTCGCGACCCGGATTCAAAGTCGTGATTCCTGTTCTAATGGGGCGTTATCGCGATACGCTTGCCTGCCGGGATTACCTGCCTGGGAATCTGCCTCCCACGCGAACACCGTGTATATACCAGCGTAGGAGATTATGAAACGACTGATCGTCGACAATAAACGTGGTCTCCTTTTCGCCTATGTGGATGCACACAGGGTGCGTTTCAGAGCAATTAGGATTCTTGACGGATCTCGGCCGCGTGATTTCAAGGAAATATGGTTCCAGTGGGTGGAATTTGTGTTGGGAGAGAGTTCATGCAGATCTGGGATTTGAGATACGTGGTTTAATAAATTTTCGAGCTTGGTAAGTGTCTCAATTACCGTTGTGCTGTTAACTTGGATATTTGTAGAGTAGCATTTTTGTAAATTATTATTTAGCATTGCATACTCTTTAAGCATGAGAAGTTTTTACAAGTGACTATTCGTAACAGAGAAAGGGTTAATATAATGTCTGCTATCATTTGTGATTGTAGAAAAGATTAAACAACGTTAGAAAGTAAATTTTGCAAATAACTTTAAATTCATAAATCCTTCAGATATGTTATCTATTTATTTATTTACCAATAATCACAATTGGATTTGCCTTTCAATTAATACAATACACATCGCCACCCACGAAATCCTCTACATTGTACAAAGATTAAAGAACTTGAAGAAATATTTCAAGCAACTTCCCTCTGTAGATAATTTACCGAGACAGCCTATCGATCAGAATCTCCCGCGGTTCGAGGGTAAACAAAGAAGGCGGCCGCGATCCCCGAAGAAGCCGGACGCGTTCACCCTTCGGCTGTTTCGTTGGTAAAGCATCCGCGAGCGAGATTAAAAGGACAGAAAAGAGACCCAGGACCCTCCTACCAACGTACCTACGCATACCTGTACAAAAACGAGGAACAGGTTTGTCCGGCAGCCAAAGGATCCGCTGTAGCCGGCGTCATTCCGAAATACCCACGTAAAATTACCAGATTTGCGTCACCTACCCAGCTAAACCTACCACTTCAAACCGAACTTCCAACCTAACGCAGAAAATCTGGTCGAATCAAAATTCAAGATGACTAAAGAGGATAAGAGGTAACATCGACTGAGATGCAGAAAGCGTATCGACTCTCCTATCTACTCACTGGAAGAATCAAAACGAAGATCACCTTCTCTGTAGAGACCAACGGTGTAAAATAATTTGCTACAATTTTATTGCAAAAAAAAATACAGCGACTTCTGATATTCCTATTCAAAACAAACATCAGATTCATCCTTCGACAAGCCTCTATCTGCAGAATAACAGAATGAGGCTGGATCTCCCGTTACCTTTTTCATCGAGACTATCAGTGCAATATAATTCATTACAAGTATGACTTCAGATATTTCAATTCGAAACAAACGTCAAATCCTTCCTTCGACATACTTCTATCCACAGAAAAACAGAGCCAGATCGAACTGAACAAGTCAGGTCTCCAGAAGATCACTTTCTTCATAGACTACCAATGTATAACAACTCACTACAAGTTCAATAAAAAAAACTAATGACTTCAGATATTCCAATTCGATTAGAATCGTCAGATTCTTCCTTCGCCACGCTTCTGTCCGCAGAAAAACAGGGCCAGTCCATGCTGGCTAGGGCTAGATCTCCCGCCAGGTCCCTTCCCTTATTCCTAACGTCGTCCTTGCACCTAGACCCGGCAGCCACCACATTCGCGTGTGCTGCCACATGCTCGTGTATGGGTGTTCCTGGTAAACGCGTCGAACACACACACGTATGTCCGGGGAGGAAGAGAAAAAAAGATCGATCCTCTCGGCCGTGGTGTGCTGCGGAGAGCTGTGGCCGCGTGCAGGATCGACGTGCCGTGAGCGCGCTCGCTCGTCTCCCAAGGGTGGGAGATACGAAGGTATAAAACCGATCTGGCCGAGTGCTGGCAGCCAGTCCAAAGGCCAGATGTGGCGGCGGCTCTAGTCGCACGCGTGCGAGAGAGACGATCACGACACGGCGCGCGGTACTCCCGCGATCAACGGCAAAATAGAAAGAACGAACGTACGCGAATCATCACATAAGTATATATGCCAAGCTTCATGGTTTTCCACCGCGATCACCTTTTTGCTCACTGTCTGTGAATTCGTGTGAACATTCCGCCTATAGAGAGGAGCCAAGGATAAGAGGAAGAAGAAGAAGATTTCGTTGACCAAAGGGAGAGACATAGGAGATACGTTCGTCCTGCTCTCAGCTTGCAACCAGGGAGAGAAAGGACAACGAACTCCGAAGACTCGTTCCCTGGGACCCTAAAACGAAACTGGTCCTCGGGTGATTGGTAGTTGAGACACGAAGCACAAGACTAGAGGGAGAATTGAATTTCATATAAGGGTGATCGGCGGTCAGTTTCTTGTGGAATATACGTGCGCCAGCCTGACACGGGATCACCAGCCAGATTCACGGGAGTGGTGGTAACCGCGGGAGAAAGAACGGAGAGTGTGGCTCCTAGGTGCGGATTTTCTTTTAGAGACCTAGGAGATCGACCTTCGAGCTTCTCTCGAAGAGTGTGCGGGCTATTATCTCGAAGTGGTTGCGATTGAACGGAAGGGAGAGACAACGTCCTGGAACATGTCTGGGATCAGGATCAACGTGGAAGAGGCCTCCAACGATGGAAACGAGGATCTCGTACGAGACGTAAGTCAACTAATCACGATTACAAGATTAATCATTGCTACCAAGTGTGGTTTAGAAGCTTCTTCTCGAAGCTGTAGCCTCTGTTTAAAGACACCGGTGCAAAGACCGCTGCATCGCGGAACTCAAGCATCCTCTGCCTCTATCCGCTGCTTTCTAGTCGCCGTTCCTTCCGCATCTGAGAATACTATATTCTTGTGGATTCAATCACGATTACAAAACGATTCGTCAGTACTTTCACGATGTAACAGAGAAGCTCAATGCTGGTACTCATTTGGCGGGAAACGCGTGGTAAAAAAGAAGTAACTAATCATTCGACAGATTGTCCAAGTAGAGATACAGAGAAACTTGAATAATTCGTCGAATAATACAAAAACAACAAAGAAGAAGAAAACTATCGTGATCAATTGCTAACTTCTAACCGTTCGACTACTTTAGGCTAACTTTCGTTACATAAAGTATACGTAAAATTCGAGGAAGTCTGGTGAAAGAATTTCACGACGTTATCCAACAGGAACTAGATTTGCCAGATTTAATGCACCGCCGATAATTAGCGGGCAACACACACGGTCTGTATGTCGCGTTCATTTCCCTCTAGCTTCTAACTAACAGGTAGCAATAAACACACGAAAAATCACGGTTCAACGATTCGTTTATCGATAGAAAAAAAAAAAGAAAGAAGTACGAATGTTAACATCGATATGTAGCAACGATTAATCGAACTGTAGCCAAGATGAAAGGTGTCGAACAGTTTAGGTTCACGGGCAACGCTCGTGTGTATGTACGAGCCCGCGTAACACCGTTCACCGGGAATACTTAACGAGAATTCCCCGACACCCATCGGTTTATGTAATGCACGCAGCAAGTGGAGTCACCGCGCGGCGACGTCGACGCAGACGGCGTCAGTTGGGAAACGAAGGACAATATCGTTCCCAGATATTCGTAGGAAATAACGCGCGAAAGGCACGAATACGAGACGCGACGAATCGCGTACGAATTGCAATGCACGCGTATTGTGCAATCGAGGCTGGCTGGCTGGGCTGTCTCTGGCTGCGACACGTTGCTCGTGAGAAATTCGTTTGGAACTTTTCACGAGACGTCGATGAAAAATCGAACAACAAGAACGTGCGACCTGTTCACAATTTCCTTCGTCGTTCTACACCAATTATCTCTCCGATAAGGTTGTAAAAGTAAGGTTTTTACATGAGAAGCTACGTTCCTTAAAAGAGGAATATTCAACTCGAACAACACACAACTAACTTGCTCACGAAAGTCTCGGTCAATCGCTATAAAAATTCGCACCGAAATTCTGGTACCTGTGGATTTAATCGTCGATAAAAGAGAACGAGCAGAGTGGTCGTGAAATGACATGCGAGTTAAAGGAATCGATTTTTTATGTCTCCGGTGTAGAGCCGAATAAAAATGTGGGTTTTTGGTACGTTCGAGAGAAGTATCGCCGGGATTGATTATCACGTTAAGAGGGAGGAAAGAGGAGCCTTCGCGCGGTTGGACGTGTAGGCGTCCTGCAATAAAAGTAGACTATGTGGCTCGAGTTGAAGAACAATTTCCATAATTCCATAGCTCCGGGTTGATTCTCGAGAAGCCGGTAACCAGCCAGCCACCTGTAGGCCGTTTCTCACATTCGCGTTTCATAATTCTCCACAGTCGGGCTAGCGTTTACGAGCTGGTTCCTCTCGAGACGCGTAGGAACCCCGACCGGACCTCGACAATAATTCCTGAGCGATTTCGAACTCGTCGAGCTGCGATAAATTTGGAACTGACTACTTCGAGTTGAACGATGACTCTATATTAGGCCATATACGAAATTGCTCTCCGAGGAATTCTTGTTTTATATTTTTATTTATGTAGTATTATTAAGTTGAAGGAACAGGATTAAATCTTAACACTTTGCTAACTGATCAGGTGTATTTTCTACTGTGTCATTCTTGTGTAGTACTCTAATAAATATTGTTCTGTAATATTATATCATTCAATTTTACAGGAATTTTTCATGAAATTTTCTGGAAATTTTTTGAGCAAACTTTCTGAGTTATATATTACTCTAAAATTCCAAGTGAAGAGATTCCTTTATTTCGAAAATCTCCGAGCCTCAGAATGCGTATAAAAAAGATCTTACTTCACTGATCAAAGACGTTCTAGAGAAAACAGATAAAAAAAAGAAACACCTTGACGAATATTATTTAGGTAATACAGAGAAGATCCAGTGAACGTATTATTGCCAAATAAATATCATAAGGCGTTATCTCATGAAGAAAGGCTTTTAAATATTGATCAGTCAGAATTTATTGGCGAACAAAATATCTTTTGCAAGAAACCATTCGATTCTTCCAGAATTGTCGTCGTCGACATTTTAGAACTTTGATCGACCCTCCGAGAATTAATTCGCCAGATATTAGGAAGGAACTACGATCGGCGAGAGAGGAAGTTATCCTGATTTATGCGCCGCGTTCACCTTGTACAGATTCGGCAGTGAAACTCCAGCAGAAAGCGGCTCGTGAAAGGTCAGAAACGAACTAGCCGCTTTCGGAAATATGTTGTGTCTTTAAATCGTCGACGATAATATAATCGATCATTCGCTGAAAATCTACCAGAATGCACCAACGTATAGTAGTCGAAAAGTTGACTCACATCTCGTTAATCGATCATTTACGCGACAGACGATAATTCTCTTTACTATGACCGCGATCTTTCGCGCGAATACTACGATTTAGAACATGCACGTAGCCGTTTCATCATTCCCCGGCGTGCACCAGAACTTCAGGGCTGAAATGTCGAGTCGAGCGAAACGATTCGTGTCTCATTCGCGAGATTAGTCATGCACGACGTGGTTCTTGCTTGTAGAACGCGGGCAATAAAGTGGAAATATGGTTACACGTAGAGAGATTCGTTAAAAAAAAAAAAGGAAAAAATAATAAATTTTCCCTTCGATCCTAACGAGCATGAATTTTCGAAAGTTCGGTATAGAAATTAAAATTTAGAAATTAAAATCGACCGATGTTAGAAGCGTACGCGCCTCTACAACTGAGGCAACCTTCGTTAAGCAAAACTCTCGCCGATATCCAAGGCCTTGGCATACCAAATGCCGGCATTAAAATAATCGACGATACGTTTCCGCGGCGTCGAATTTTTAATTCCATGGAATTGTCCTTTATCATACGGCCCGCGATTAATGATTCTCGGATTTTTGCCTGCTGGAGAATAGCTTACGTCAGTGTCCTCTCCGCGAGAAAGTATCGCGATAGAGATGTACAAGCCGGGTGATTCGTGTCCCTGGGAGATTAGAGTACCAATTAATCAGCGTGCGAAAACAATTTTCAGTCGCTGACCTTAAAGGGGACCCATGAGACACGATGATTCCAGGATTTCACTTTTCAGCCGGATAGCTCGTTTATCTCGTGGTCGCGCGAAGACCACATGACGAATTATAGTTGGAAAGGCTCGATGGTATTAACCCTTTCAGTGGAAATTTAATTTCAAGAAATTTTCCATGTGAAGTCAATTTAATTTTGTAAAACATATTTTACTTTTTTATATTTTAAGCATCAGTATTCATTAAACGAGATAAGTACAGTTGAAAATGACCCAAAAAGAATTTTTTTATTAACCAAAATTAGAAAATCTGTAAAATAGTATTTGTTGTCTTCATACACACTTTCCTTGGAAATTATTAAAACTACTTTGATAATTTAATCGTTGAATTCAAAAAAGATATGCTCGATAATTTTATTTCTGAGCATTTAAAGCCCAAAAAATGCAATCTTTACTAAAACCAGTATCAAAACTCACACAATACTTGGACAGAAAAAAATCTTCGAGCAAAATACAGTCGACAACATGAGAAAAGTGTGAAAGAAAGAATTATTTAGAATATATTCACTCAGTAATAAAAAAAAAAAAAGAAACCGAAACATAGGTAGTTTCACACGTGCTCTGCAAAGCGTACCCGATCTCGTAAATAAATAGTTTGGTATTCTAATTCATGAGAAATACACAGACTAATCACCCAAAGTGATGAACAGCACAGAAGCAGGAAAGGATCACGAAAATGATGAAACGCGATACTGGAAAGTATCAAGGTCTGAAGATCGGCACAGAAGCAGGAAAGGATCACGAAAATGATGAAACGCGATACTGGAAAGTATCAAGGTCTGATGCAAGGGTACCGAGATAAAGGAAAAAAGTTGGTGCGTTTTCGTCTAAGGTCGAAGCAGAGAAATCGATTTTGCAATATGGAGTGCTTTCTCTTGTTGCATGCAAATGTCGCCCCGGGGAAGGAATTCACAGAGATCGCGACATTGATTCGTGTAACACTTATGCCTGCTGTTATTGTGACAGTGAGCTTGTCTTGGAACGAGATCCTCAACGAGGTCAGGTGTTTTATTTTATATAATTGCTTCGCACAGAAATTAGTGAAAAAAGAAACATTGCGAAGATTCTGCAAAACGTTAAGAACGGTGCTCACGATAAATGTATGTCAACGATCTTTATTTAATTGTTTTCATATGAGAAAAGATAATATTCCTTGATCTTGATCCATTATTCAAAAACGATTATGGAATGACAATGATAGAGGGACACTGAAATGCCGGCGCTAGCGATCACCATAATTATGTAATTCACTCTCTTACGAGGCTTCATTAAGGAAACAGATTTCGTTAGGTTACGTGATAGAACTGCCGCGTGTCGAACTTTCATTCTGTGTTCCAAGGTGTTGTGACATTTTTTCTAACAGATTCCGGTATTTTCAATGTACCAATACCCAGAATCCATCCAATCTTCCAATTATTAATTTATAGCCACACTGTTACCGACATATTCAATTATCCCCAGTCATTCGTATCGAAAAGATGAAACCACCCTCAAAATTAAAGAACCTATTTTTTTTAATATCTCAAGAATCAGAAGAAATTTGTTAATTAATTACATTTTTTTTTAAACGCCCAATTGAAAGGACGAGCACAGCCCTCAAAATTAAGGGTTGA